ATAAAATACCAAGATTTTTGGCTTAAGATCTATAAAAGTAATTATGCGATAATTCATAATATATATACAGGGTATCCGAAAAGGTTGGAACCAAACCGAGACTACGTGTTAATGAGAACCAATAGATGAAGAAAGCTCATGTAAACTTATGTCCCAAAAGAAAGTTTATATAAAATTCTATTGTCATTATTAATTAAATAAAAAGAAGTAAATACGTTACACTAATATTTTTAATTATTATTAATATGTAAACAAGAATGTGCATTTTTTAAATTCAAAGTTTTATTTCTCTGTACCATTATATGATCTATTGTATTACACATGTTACTATACAATTAAATTTAATTTGATATTAAATGTAATTTTATATCTAAATCTATATTAAATTTTTATTAAATTTATTAAATCTATTATTCACATTTCTATCTAAAGTAAACTGTAATCAATTATATTTTTCTTGTGTTATAAACAAAAATTTGGTTATGAAAATTACACCAGTAGTAGATCTTGCAAAGTACAATATTTCCCATTTAAGCCTATATTTACCTGTTTATTTATATTTAAATTAATATCAATTCAAGTTTCATAAAATACATGTTTCATGAAAGATAAATTTCCATTACAAACAGAAGGCTCTGTCAAAAATAAACAGATCACAGAAGGTATATCAACGATAATGGAAACAAAATTCTCATTAACCTAGCAGAACTGATAACAATCCTAAAATCTCGAAATAATTAGGTACATATTTTCAAAACAAAGTGTAAACACACTATCAATCAAATGGAAATAATACCTGCATGTTCAACTATAATATAAGTCACAATTCTAATTTTTGTATCAAACAACTTGTTGCTATTAATTATAATTGACCGTGTAAACAGTGCAAAATTATAGTTGGCAGACGTCTGAAACATTAGGTTCATTGTTTTACACGGTAAATTAGTCTTCTTGTACGATAAAAACGTCAGATAAGAACCTTGTATAAAGTATTAATTGAACGACTTCAAGTCGATCAACTCGGTCCGCTGAGTCCGAATTGTCCAATGTAAACGCGGCTTAAGCAACCCTTCGACTTTGGCGTATTAAACGAAAAACAAAAGAACTTGCTGCGTAAAGGTGTTATCGGCCGTAGCGAATGGTGCTTATTGTTATATAAGCAGCGTGAAACAATAAGTGCATGGTGGTTATTCGTGATTCACCAACCCGGGCCAGAAACAGGTTACGTGTCTTGACATTGAACTCCACAGGCAGATGTACTTGCCTTCGAATACAATAGATGTCGTTATAAAAGGGAACGAGCCTGCTGTCCAAAGCATCTCTAGATTAATGCGCAGAAGGTAATCAACTTTCGCGATTGGGTATTCCCGACGGCGTCACTCCCGATCACACAGAGTTAAGAAATTTATCTAGGAACAATGTGATAAAGCATTTACGTAAACTGCCTGTTTCGTTTAGAATTATTGTGTGGTAATCGGCATGAATTTTTGAAAAATTGAATAACTATTCTGGAAATACGAAATGGGGTACATTGTGATTTTAATATGGAATATATACCGTTTTATTAATTTATTAATTGATTAATTATAGTGGTAATGATGTATCTTGATGTAGTAATTATGAGTTTCATTGCAGGGCGATCAAGGACATAACCTCGTCTTTTATTCAAATGTAATCGGAATATTTGATGTGTAGATCTATTAATATTTTAGTCTCATACATAGGTATAAGTATTCGAGCGAAAATGAGAATCCGTTATGCATATGTGTGTTACATATTTGTCCAATTGTTTATAAAAAGATATCTATCGCCTATAAAGGAATTAAATCTAATTATATAATAGGCTAGGTGCTTATTTATATATAAAATTTAATTTACAATAATATTTGAATTATATATAAATTTATTTACATTTACTATTATATACATACATCACTATATTATTATATGACTATTTATACACATTATCGATTTAGAATTTTTTAATCGTAAATCAATATTTTTGTATTTTTGTATTTTCTTAAGTTTCTTATGAGAATTTGTATTGTTATTTAAAAAATTTGTTTCTTGTCGTTGATTTATTTGAAAAATTCCTTTTGTTCCATAATTGTAAGTATTCATATATATTTTCATAAAAGAAATTAAAATTTGTATATCTTTACTGCTATTTATATTATTTTATATTTTTATATTATTATCACATATGTTTATCAGAACTATCATAGAAATAACTATCATAAAACTATCAATATATAAATACAGTATTTATATTACTTATTTATTAATTAATTAAGTTCAAATATAAAATAGTTTAACCAAATGGTAAATGATAATATATCACTGATTCAAAAACATTAATAATAGTTCCTGTTTAAAAATCAAAGTAGAAATTCTTTTAAAATATAGTTTACAGACTATGCATTATAAAATAAAACTCTGCACAACAAGAATATTATTATTACTATACTTCATATTATTAAAAATATCATAATACCTGTTACAGGATACATATATAGCATGAAGTAATAACAGGAAAGGAATTAAAAAATTTGTTAGAAAATATAATAGAATAAAATTATTACTTTTATAATACATATTTCAGCATACATAACTTGAAATAATAATAAAAGAAAAGAGTTCCAAAAACTTCTTATTAAATATAACACTATATAATTATCAATATTATCGTTATACATATTACAAAATATATGGTAAAAGATTAATGATTGAAAAATTATATAAGAATAAATGATAAAAGAATAAAGAATATATGGCATAAGATAATGGCAAAAGAAAAGACAATTAGAAACTAAAATAAACTATTCTAAGAATTTTCCAGAATAAAGAAAGTTTTTTACTGATTCCAAGCATATCTTAAACACGTGTCTTAAATATTCAACTATCACACTTGTAACAACATCTGAGAAAACAATTATTCATTTTTCGTGTCGACTAATCATCGCACGACGTATTTTCTCGAAGCATCTTCATTTGTTCCAAAACAGTCTTAAGGCAACGTCATTTGGAATGTTTTCGATGGTTATCAGGTCCACACGTACAGGTTATATTTTACAATGATTAAGAAACAGCACCTCCTGAATCATAGAATCCTAGTAATAATTTGCAGTCCAATAATTTCATAATATTTCTCCATTCGTCTAAGAAGCCTGCATCTCCAACGTCTGATTCTGCGAAAATTGATAGAAAAGTATTAATTTGCTACTTGCTACCTAATAATCACTGGACTACAACACTATCGATTACACTGAACCGTGATCAAATCGGCCGAAACACGTGTTTCTGCATTTTTATTCACGGTTTCGTTCGTTTACGAAAAAATAGCAGATGCACAATCTCTCGATTATCTTTGATCGATTGTTACACCGTGTACAACAGGATGTGAGAACGATTACGATTCGATGTATCGATTATTATTTATGAGCGCTGTAGGCAGCAGTTTCTCTTCTTTAATGGAAAAGGCGAATTAAAAGCTAATTCATAATTTGATCCATAATAACTTATTCTGATTCATGATTCATAGTAAAATCATTTAATCGGATATAATTTAAAGAAACAGAATTTTCCAGATGATTAACATAAGATGAATGAAAAAAAAAAAGGAAAAAAATTTACGCTTACCTTTAATTTTTATATATAAATCAATAAGAAATTAATGTTTTACTTTCGCATAAATCGAAGCTGCTTCTTTCTACAAAAATATTATTATTAATTATTGATAAAACAAAGTACATGTCGTTCGTATTTCATATTAGTAATTCTAAATTCTAAATTCTAAATGTTTTAATGAATTTTAATACAGAATATTGTTGATTATTTCACCTTGAAAATTTGCTGAATTAAATTCTTGTTAGAATAAAATAAAACACTTGAAAAAATATTTTAAATAACTGACTTTCTTCAAGTAAAATTATTTAGTTGAACACTTAAATTTTAAATCTGCAAAACGCTCTTACTTTTCACTTTGTCTAACATGAGGTTATCATCCATGAATAAAAAAGTTTAACGAAGAAGAGAAACTATATTTTACAAAAATACTATTATCTTTGTTGACACAAAATTTGTATATGTCAACATTAATAAAAAAAATTCGATTACATTTGGATTAGACTACATTCATATAATGTTCAACTGTTTAATTACTAGTATTGATTTAATTATTTACTCATGTTGAATGGAGATCAATTAATTTCGGAATATAGTACAGTTACATATAATTACATAATAAATACGTAATAAAATCAAGAGATTGCATTCAGCAATCCATATGTAAAAAAAACATAAAAATCCGATAATTGTTGTTATATGTTCAATCAATAATTAATTACTCATTATTAATTAACAGTCAATTGTAGTTGGTGATAAAAATAACGAAACATGGGAATAAAATAATCAACCAAATATTTCGCTTAAAGTAATATCACTGCATTAAATACTCGTGTACAAAGGCGCATCACTTAAAGAAGAACTCATTCAGAAAAAAAATTTCGTCGATCATAAACATTAACTAAATTTCTTAAAACAAAATCACTGACGTAATACCCTTCTTATAGGTTACTTTTTCCAAGGAAGTATGCAGGGGCGGAGTGTACGTTCAAGGGCCATAGTGTATGTTCAATATAATCGAATTATCAATATTCTTTCTACCTGAAAAAATCAAAAGCTAAAAGAAAGGAACGATATTTTCGGCAAATATATTTTGCCATGTTCAACAATAAACAACGTAACAAAAATTTTCGATGTACCTTTTAGGTTACAAGTTGTTTGTTACAGAATCGAATAAAAATATCCAACGCAATCTTCTTAAGTATTTCACACAGACACGCAGTTCCCGGAATCAAACGGCACATCGTATCGTAAACATCCTTCCGATATTAATTTCCACAATTTCAGTCGTGCAATTTTTCGCACGCCGCACGAACATCGAAACGAGCCGAGGTAAGGAAGTGCGAGTGAATACTATATAAGATGACGGAGACACCGATTGACTCAGTCATTCCATCGCAAGCTGCGACGACGTAGGGATCGATCGAATTTGCGCGTTCGGTAGTGATTACACACGATTTTCCATCGACGTTGTTTGGTTACTTCCGGGTAGATATGGATATTAGGATCTTGACATTGCTGTTGTTTGTCGGCATCGCCGGATCATTTGCGGAGTTACGATTCCCTCTCTACAGAGCACGCAGAGGTGAGTTATTACTGTGTAAACACAAACACGTAAACGAATGTATAGTGCTTTGTACAGGAACGAATTGTTCTTTACTAATATACCACTGCACACACTAAGTAGTTGCTGTTTCGTGAATGTGCTGCATTTTGTTTCGTGTAGACTGTCAAACGCGCTTGCATACCTAACAATTTTGACAATTAAGAAACGATTTTGATAATGTTCGACTCGTTTAAACGTAATTGTAACGTGTTCTAATATGAAACGTTGTCTTCGCCACTGTTCCTAATTATACTCTTTAATACGTTCGACGTACTTTGAGGTTAAGGACTCGTTAGAGATTGGAAGATTAGTACACGTATAGTTAAAGATTTATTACACACATGTAGATTCGTTGTATATATGACTAGAAATTCGTTCGAGATATGTCACAGGCATTATTTTGCATCGGTATCGATTTAATATCGAATTAATTCTGAATGTCATTGCTAGAGAAATTTTTCTCTTTCGCGCACATCGAGAATGATAAAAATTGTATCCAACGATAAGTTATATAACGTTCGACGTACATTTAAATTGGCATCGTAGTAAAATACGGAAATGTCTAGACAATTGCGAATTCCATGGAATATCATTTAACCATGAAACATTAATCAATTTTTGACCGTCGGATATTCGTGTGATGAACGAACACGTTTTTACACATTTCGTAAGTATACGTATATATTTGCCGATATCGAGAAACAGGTCTGTCCTGTTATTTACGGCATGAATATTCTTTTGTAGAAAAAGTCAGAAATCTATAAAATTCGAAACGATACAACAATTCGGTCTCTCGAATCATCCTGTTATCCATGCTATTTTATTCAGTTACAATATTGAAACTTTGATGTCAATTAATTAAAAAAGTTATTATTCCTTTTTTTTTTTGTTTTTAGCTTTTATATAATTTTCTGTATTACATTATATTATTTGTGCAATAATATATCCCAAAAAAGATTTTTTACCAATTATCAGGGAAAATTATATTTTTAGAAAAAGTAGATACATTCTATAAATTTGAAATACATAACCTACATCTTCAATCGAATTTTTCGAATATTGCATTATTAACAAATTTTGTATAAAAATTAAACATTTTACCAACTCGATGATTCTATAATCTTACAAAAACAAGTTCTCGCAACAAAACAAGCTCGTTCCTAGAAATCAAGTATGATTCGAAAAATGCAAAATACGTCAGCGGAAGCGGCGCTTTTCGCGAAGTAAATATATTCCGGAACTGCAGGTGGCACAACCGTCGCGTAATCTGTAAACAGTATTGCATATCACTTTAATAAATTGCACTTTGCAATGCTAAAAAAGAATGTTTTATATTACTTTTCGGAATGTTAACGACTGATTACCGTTTAATCTGTGAAAAAATACAAGGATAGAAGCGCTCGTTTATCTACACGATTGCTTAACCAGTGCGAAGTACCGGTAGACGTTCGTAGTACATGCATGCATCAATATTGCAAGCGGAAGATTTTCCAAGCGCGATAATATCGATAATCGATATTCTCACGTACGTAACATTATCATTCGCACGATGCATCCTCCTTTGCATGTGAAACGCTCGGGCATTATGTGTCATCGCGCGGAGATAATTGGCCGCGACGCTCGCAAGCCATGACCTCGTTTGGTTTCCCCACCTTGACCCCCACCCAGACACTTTCTTTCTTTCTCTCGTTGCTTTTATTTCCCGCTGCAGTGACGCGGCGCTGCTCGGTCGAGTTAGGCGATACGACGCAACTTCCTTGCTAACCTTTCAGCCGGGCTCCATTACGCTCGGAAAGTTCCTTCGAGCTGTAACCTTGGCAAACGCGTCACCCGTTTTCTGTTGATCTAAAGCCGCTTTCCAAATTACGGTGTGCCATAAACGTTCCAGAGAACGTGGGAGTTACGAAATTTTTAACGCTGCAGTCCGGTGAGTCTGGAATTTCAATTTTTAAGTAATAGATTATTTTAACTGCGGGAAAAAATTGTTTTTGCTTTAAAAATACCAGGCAATGAGATTTCGTGAAATATGACTGATGTGACGCGATGTTTACGAAAGATTCTTGAATTTTAAATTAATTTCGGTCGCTCGAGGCCCTCCTCGACCGATTTAAACGAGGATAAAGGGGAAGTAGGCTGCGAGAATTTAGGATTAAAAATTGCTTGGAAGTGATGTTACGAGGAAATTACTCGTATTAAATGGCGTCTGTTTGACACTCGTTTGTTTTAACACTTGCCGCCATTTTCATTTTCATTCTACAATTGTGCGCATTCATTGCACGCGTCGATTGGGGAAATCCCTTCTTACGTGAAGAAACTGGCATTTGCACGAATGCATCTTACCAAGGCAGTACCACCCAGATAATCTCTCTGCATGTTTTATGTTACACGTGAAATTGTGTGCTCGATCCTCCCGTGTCTTTCGCGAACGCAAAGAAGATAATGCGATTGGAATGGAAGGAAGTCCTTCGAGGAAGGAAGGAACGGAAGGTGTCAAAGTTTAACACATGTGCTTCACGTTTAATACAGTGGAATTTTTCTTTCACATGCATGCAACGAGGTGAAGGAATGTCCCGAAATTAAAGGCCGAATCTTACAACGAAAGCATGCTGGCAGTAAGAGTGAAGTGTGTGAAATGTTTACCACAGAAACACTGTTTACCAATTTCTGTAAAAATCTGTAAAACGAAAGAGAAAGGTTAACAGAAATGAAAAAAAAAAAAAAATGGTATTTTCTTTCTTTTCCTCGACAAAGATGGGCTGCAAGAGGATAAACCACGCTTGGTGGATTTCGTTGGGATAACGAGGATGAAACGAGAAGCTGGCAGGTCGAAAGCTGTCAAAAGTACCACTATACCGACGATATTTATAGATCTGCCTGACATCCTGCCTGAGATCCCGCCTGACATAAGTTCTGAAAGTACATCGACGAATAAACCAGATCCTACGAAACCTAAGTTAGATCCTACGGACTCTACGTCTGATCCAACCAGTGACACACCAAAATCAACGTCAACGCCAGTTCCTAGAAATACACCGAAGTCAAGGACACCTGGATCAGAACCTAAGACTACTAGCCCAACTGCCAAATCCACCAAACCTATGCCAGAAACCTCAAGTTCTAGTCCAAGTACTAAACCCACCACACCTAACTCAGAAAGTCCGACAACTAGTGATCCCACAACACCTGACTCGGAGGACCCAAATAATAGCGATACTAGCGATCCCACGACACCTGATTCAGAAGATCCGGAAACTGATTCTAGCTCTGAATCCACGACACCCACCTCAAAGACTCCAGCTACTAGTCCAACTAGATCTGTTACATCCAAACGAGAAGCTACCACCCCTAAACAAACTACTAAGCCCCCGACACCTGATACAAAAGATCCAGAATATCCAGAAGATCCAGAAGATCCAGAAGATCCAGAAAATCCAGAAGATCCAGAAAATCCAGAAGATCCAGAAAATTCAGAAGATCCAGAAGATACAGATAGTACTCCGACTACCAAACCCACAAAGCCCAAGAAAAAAACTCCAAAGAGTCCAACTGCTAAGCCCACGACACCTGATTCAAAAGATCCAGAAGATCCAGAAGATCCAGAAGATCCAGAAGATCCAGATAGTACTCCAACTACCAAACCCATGAAACCTAAGTCAAAAACTCCGAAACGTCTAGCTACTAAGCCCCCGAAACCTGATCCAGAGGATCCAGAAGATCCAGATGATCCCGAAAACCCAGAAGATCCAGAAGATCCAGAAAACCCAGAAGATCCAGAAAATCCAGAAGATCCAAAAGATACAGATAATACTCCAACTACCAAACCCACAAAGCCTAAGAAAAAAACACCAAAACGTCCAGCTACTAAGCCCCCGAAATCTGAACCAGAAGACCCAGAAAATCCAGAAGATCAAGAAAATCCAGAAGATCCAGAAAATCCAGAAGATACAGAAAATCCAGAAAATCCAGAAGACCCAGAAGATCCAGATAATTCAGATAGTACTCCGACTACCAAACCCACGAAACCTAAGTCAAAAATTCCAAAACGTCCAGCTACTAAACCCCCGAAACCTGAATCAGAAGATGCAGAAGACCCAGATGATCCAGAAAATCCAGAAGATCCAGAAGATCCAGAAGAAACAGATAGTACTCCAACTACCAAACCCACGAAACCTAAGTCAAAAACTCCAAAACGTCGAGCTACTAAGCCCCCGAAATCTGATCCTGAAGATCTAGAAGACCCAGAAAATCCAGAAGATCCAGAAAATCCTGAAGATCCAGAAGATCCAGATAATCCAGATAATTCAGATAGTACTCCTACTACCAAACCCACGAAACCTAAGTCAAAACCTCCAAAACGTCCAGCTACTAAGTCCCCGAAACCTGATCCAGAAGATCCAGAAAATCCAGAAGATCCAGAAAATCCAGAAGATTCAGAAAATCCAGAAAATCCAGAAAATCCAGAAAATCCAGAAGATCCAGAAAATCCAGAAGATCCAGATAATACTCCCACTACCAAACCCACAAAGCCTAAGAAAAAAACTCCAAAACGTCCAGCTACTAAGCCCCCGAAATCTGATCCAGAAGATCCAGAAAATCCGGAAGATCCAGAAGATCCCGAAGATCCAGAAGATCCAGAAGATCCAGAAGATCCAGATAATTCAGATAGTACTCCAACTACCAAACCCACGAAACCTAAGTCAAAAGCTCCGAAACGTCCAGCTACTAAGCCCCCGAAACCTGATCCAGAAGATCTAGAAGATTCAGAAGATCCAGAAGATCCAGAAGATCCAGCAAATCCAGAAGATCCAGAAGATCCAGAAAATCCAGAAGATCCAGATAATGCAGATAGTACTCCAACTACCAAACCCACGAAACCTAAGTCAAAAGCTCCGAAACGTCCAGCTACTAAGCCCCCGAAATCTGATCCAGAGGATCCAGAAGATCCAGAAAATCCGGAAGATCCACAAGATCCTGAAGATCCAGAAGATCCTGAAGACCCAGAAGATCCAGATAATGCAGATAGTACTCCAACTACCAAACCCACGAAACCTAAGTCAAAAGCTCCGAAACGTCCAGCTACTAAGCCCCCGAAATCTGATCCATCAGATCCAGAAGACCCAGAAGATCCGGAAGATCATGAAAATCCAGACGATCCAGAAGATTCAGAAAATCCAGAAGATCCAAATAATTCAGATAATACTCCAGCTACCAAACCTGAGAGACCTAAATCGCAAAAACCAACTACTAAACCTAAAGATTCGAAACCAAAACCCGCACCTAATCGCCCTGCTAAGCCTACGACGCCTAAACCAAACTCAGCACAACCTAAACCAAGAACTCCCGGATCTAAACCGACCACTACTTCACCGCGTAAACCCTCGTCCAAGCCAAAACAGCCTAATTCTGACAAACCACCATCATCTGATACCTTGCCTTCATTTAATTCTCGCTTTGACCCTGACGAAGAACCCGAAGAACCTAGTAACCAACTTAATGGAAAGCAAGAGCCGACTGTGAAGCATCCTACGTATCCTACGTTTCCTTTGTACCCTGTGGATCCTACGAATCCTTGGAATCCTTTGTACCCTGTGAATCCTACGAATCCTTGGAATCCTTTGAATCCTTCGGATCATTGGAATCCTTGGAATCCTTCGGATCCTACGAATCCTACAAATCCTACGAATCCTACAGGTCCTACGGGTCCTACGGGTCCTACGAATCCTAAAATTCCAAATTTGCCAGTCGATCCTTCTTCCTTGCCGTACTTCGTCCCAAATTTCCAGTCTATTTTCGATACTTACACTAATCCTAATTCCCAATACGTGCCAAATAATGGTAACGATTACTCGTGGAATCCACCTACCGGTGGATATGGATCTGCGACGTCATTTGCATCCGCTAGTGCATCAGCTGGAGCTTCTGGTGACACGAATTATGACAATCCACCGTTTACTTACAACGGAGGATACCCCAACAATCAGAACGCAGTCAACGATCCCAACATGCCCATGGACCCGAACATGTCCAACATGCCTATGGACCCGAACATGTCCAACATGCCTATGGATCCGAACATGTCCAACATGCCCATGGACCCGAACATGTCCAACATGCCCGACATGCAAGTGGAGCCGAACACGGGTTACATACCGAACGTAGCCGGTGCACCGAACATTTATAACCCTGGGGATTATGGTAGCTATGGCGGAGGTAATTTTTAATAAGATGGCAAAACTCGAACTCAAGAATACCATAATGAAGATTATCGGGTGGATGCATGCATTGCGACGATTTCTGCTTAGGGAAATTAACAGAGATCCGTAAGATTTTTGAGGTTAGCTATAGTCAGTGACGAGGTTGGGTACTCGAGAGGGAATAAATGAATAATCGGGAACATAATGGTATACCTATATACAATTCTGCGGTTCCGTACTATTACGCAAGTATTGTATATGTTTAGATCATAATGAAACGGTACACTGATATTTTTTTCTTTTTCTTTTTTTTTTAGGAAGGGGTTATGGTTACGAATACACAGTAATGTCTCCAAGTGACAATTGCAGAATTCTTCTTGACACATTGTCAGTTTAACGGTGGATGGACGATTTGGTTTACCGCAGAGTTCAAAGTCAAATGTGAAATATTACGTATAGTCGTAAATTACATTTACCCATGCACTTCCTAATTGGCCGTTACGCAATATGTATATATGCGTATTTCGATATTATTATCAGTTTGGAATCGAGTTAATTACATTCCGTTCTTTATTCCTATTTTATCAGAAAAATCTCACGAATGAAGTAAATATGTAAATTTTGTTTCTCGTGCAAAGATTGAACATTTTCACAAACAGAATATCAGGATTATATAAAATAATATTTTTCGCGAGATTGTATTTAAATAATCGCGAAGGGTACTCCTATTCTAGGGGTACTCCTATTCCTGTGGAGTGGGGATAGGTGACTCTTACACGCCAATTATAGAGTACTTGCGAATTGCCACTGGAGATATTACTGTAATTAGGGAAAATAATATAACATTTTTTTATTTCTATTTTCTTTTTTTTTTTATTTAATATACATTGTAGCATTATACGATTTTTTTTTTTTAAATTTGCATTATGTGTTGCACTTTTGCAGACTAATATAGTTGAAATATCTATTATACTAGTTCAAGAAAGGTAATTCAATATTTTTCACATATATCCATATATTATGCACTGCATGAATATAAAAAAGTAGTCCTTTTTTTGATTGTATGTTTATGATAAGTACTTATTACTTTTATTTTTTACAGGTGCACCATACCCTGATTTTGTTTTTCCTAATTTGGACAATTTCCAGAAGCAAATGGAGGACAATTTTAAACAACTTCAAGCTCAGTTTGAAAAACAGCAGCAACAGTAGGTTTTACAAATTTGGTGGTGTTTTAAGCTAGGTTACACTATGAAAGTAGCTTATGCTAAAAATGCTAAAACAGTAACATGCAATAAAAAAATGCTAACAATAAGTACCAAATATTAAAAATATTAAGATACTTACTAAAAACATATATACATATATATTTAGAAATATTTTTTGAAAGATGTTTCATTAACTAATAATTACTAATTATAGAATAATGATAATTTTCTGAAAATCATCTTCTGAATATTTTACAGTATTTTTGATTTTTATTTTATGTTTAGTGAAATATGTAAAAAATAGTGAAACAACAAACTGATAACTAATTTATATTTTTTAAAGTGCTATTTATGGAAAATTCCATTTATTTCATCTGCATCATGTTTTCATATTTTCCCTTATTTATTGGTATCAGAATAAATATAATTCTCTTTTTATTCTTTTGGTACAAATTGAGAGCTGAAATATATTTTGGAAAATATAAAACAATGATTAAATAATTATTAAAATGAGAATTTTCTCTGAATATTTTTTCTTTCCTTATTATTTCGTTTTTCCTGTAAAAAGAAAAAAAAAACAAACGATTACATTCAAAATAATGTATATTTAATTTCTAGTATAGGGAGCTAAAAAAAAAGCAAAAAAAATAGCTTTCAAATTACCAAAATGTTATATTTAATATTTTATTTAAATTATACTTCTTTAAATTTATTTTTCTTTTTTTTACTCCATACATTTTAATAATAACGTTATAAAATAGGCTAATGTACGAATATTACATATACATAGGATCTTTGATGCTACTAACCGCATAGCCGCTGATGGCGCCTCTGCACCTGGTGCACATACTGCTTACTCTAGCATTAATTTGGGACCAGGAGGTGGTTACCAAACTGGTGCAATCAATCCGGTAAGTTTAGAAATTTATTCCTAAGCATGGATACTCATTTTTCATTTTTTACAATGCTTCTTTTCCATTTTAACTTTTTTAATAATATTTAATTCATTTTTGCTTGTACAATATTTTCAATTGCACTCTATATACAGGATAAAAGACTTAATCTTACAAAAATTATGATTATAAATATTATCACCGTTTAAAAGAAATGCTTTTTGATAAAGTTTTCATAAAATTTAATTAAAATTTTTCAGGTTCCACCAGGCGTGGAGTCTAGATTTGCCGAAGAACTACCTCCCCCGTCAAGCAATAGTTATGGAGTATTTAGTAGCTCAAGCTCTCATACTATGGTTGGCCCAGATGGTAAAACAGTTTCCCACAAATCTTCAACTACGGGTGTGAACGACAATGGAAAAATTACTTTCCGAAAAGTGGAGGACTAAACTATACACCCACGACCGGATTTATGTTGATATTAACCTTCTTAATGGAACGCGTACATAACGCGATAAAACATTCTATTCCCTCTTATATATTTTTAAACTCAAGATTCTCTGTAACTCAGGATTATAGAAAAGGTTTTTAATTGTTTACTTATTAAATATACTTAAGTGATTGCCATAAAAATACTCATTGTATTTAAGTAACACCCAGAGAACGAATAGAACTATTTATGAACAATTATCTATAAATAGTTACTGATTGCGATAAGTAGCGACATCTGTGGTTAAGTTTAAGTTCGAAGGTTACGCTCAGAGATGCCATTTCATGAGGAGTATTTTCAGAGGGAACACATTTCTCAAGAATTCTTTATTTTCTATGACTAGAATATTAATATTCTATTTACTTATTTAATGCGGTGTATATTTAAATATGTGTACAAGCAACTGCGAATATTTCTTGCCCCGTTTAAAATCTTTTTATAAGGTAGTAAAATATTGGTCGTTATGTATTGATAGAATTTGTATTTTATTAAACATAATGATATAATTTACATAAAGATTATCAGATACTAATAATTTCTTGATCTTTATTCCTTATTCGATTGAGTTTTACTAAATGGTGGTTCAATTTTGTCGTCGACGGTGAATCTAATTTGAGGTCTTTGAACAGTCCTTTGACCTTGATACCAAGGTTCTCCACCTTGGTATCGACTCTGGATCTGAAATATTTTATTATGATATATATATGGATAATTGCATCATCTGTAAGATTTTACAAAATTTTTCACAATGAAAGTCTATTTAAAATCCTTTATTTAACAAGTATATATATAATATATATAATAGTAAGTATAATAACAAAACTTTAACTGTTTAATGTAAATTTTACTATACTGAAATAAATTCTGATTTTATAACTCTTTTGTTATTTTTGCTGTAATGCTTTTATAGCGTTTTTGTATTAATCAAAATTTTATCTATAAATCATCATTAAAGAAATTAGCTATATAGCATGGCTAAATATTTTAGTATACTGAACCACAAAAAGAATAATTTCAATAATATAAAATTGTTTTTGTAAATATCATTGAGAGAAAATATTCATTCAGCAAGATGTTTAAGGCATAAAATTAATGTATAATATAATTTAGCACAAATTTGTAATTAACTATATACCATGAAATGTATAAAATGATCTCTTTGGCTAATATTTTTATTATAACATTCAAAATTTAAACTCATATGAATACAGATTTTTGTACAAATGATTTCGTTGTTTTATTAAGGTAATATAACAAAGTATTTTCTACTTGTAAAGAAATAATTCATTATATGCTACTGCAGTTACTTCCAATTCATTAAACAATAATCTATAATCTTTTAACTGGGTCATATAACAATAGAATTTGTTCCAAATTTTTGAAATAATACAAGGTGTCCTAAATAAGAGTCTCATGCAAATAATTACAGTATTCAAGGTTCAATGTAACTATTGCAATTAATATTTTCCATGTACTTAGTTCTATATTTAGGTTATATGAAATTATCTTATTATTTAAATTAATTAAAAATATAAATTATACTAAAAATCTCTCAAATTACGAATTAAAATTAATAACAAATAAAAGTTTTCAATTACGAAAAAAAAATAATCTAGAAATAAAATTAAAATTATTCATTGTTTGCAATGATTAACCTTACCTGTGGAATACCGTATAAATATGCCAATGAACGTGAATGATCATATGTATTTTTGACACCACGAATTCCATCTACAATGGGAATATCATGTGTTTCAAAATTAGTCTCCAATTTCGTAATTACATTAAAGTGAACATCGGTTACAATATCACCTTCTCCATTTAGTTTCGATGATACAGAAACATTGCAAATACCATTTTTACACGTGTCTATACCAGATTTTGTTCTATTTTCACTCACAATAATCTGTATATTATTAATAACAATTGGCTGCTTCGTTGTATCATCCTGCAATATTTTCACACGATTAAACAGTAAGTACTTGCGGTCCTATATTTTTATTATATTACATTTTTTACGATTTTTATTCCTTTATTTTTACGACATTTTTCTCTCGACTTATTGATTTTTATATGCAATTGTTAGAATAATATTATGCAAATAAAAGGAAACACAAGATTGTTATATATGTATGTATGTGTCATGTAATGGATACATGTCCCCAAGTTTATCGTGCTACAAGAACATAGTGAGTACTTAATCTATCAAAGCTCCTCATCGAAGGCCTTTTCGAAGTATATTTACTTCAATACCAACAGTTTTCTGTAATTGTTCTGTAATTGAATATGTTCAAATCGATTAATGATATAAATATATCATTAATAGCAATGAATGTTTATAACCATGATTTAACCTCTACCTTAAGAATAAAAAATATTTCTTTTTATAAAATATTTATAAATGCAAAGGTTTACATTACTCGAAGGACCATTAGTGGAAAAAGATATGTTTTCAATATAAACATGTTATACGGGATACTGACGTATCTTTCCTTTCTGTAATTAGCAGTGTCTTCATTAAAAACATTATTCGAGAAAAAATGTGAGTTATTAATATAGTATAAAAAATTCTGAATGATTTTAATTGTATTTTGTTATAAGAGGAAATCGCGATAGTAAAAATGATTTTGAAAATAAACATTTTATCGATATATTCCGAATAATATATTTGCAAATAAACAAATCAAAATAATAATTAGTAAATTAATAAATTTACTTACATCCATAAAGTAACTTCGTTTCCTCAAATTTCTCTTTTCTATAAATCCATTACCATAATTATTCAACTTATTTGCCAATAATTTAGATACCTGCTGACTCTCCTTAGCTTCGTCATTGACTTTATTCAAATTCACGAAGTCCATCAACGAAAAATCGCTTAAATCTCTTTTATTTTCCTCAGAGTTAAATTCGGCTTGGGAAAAAGTTTTCGTGCACGACGCGAGATGTCTCGACGATAATATCGTGAGGAGAATGCAGAGGGCGATTTGTCTTATCGGTTTCTTCATGGTTCCCTTGACTGGTTGTTTAACATTGACTGCTTCAATATTCTTTGGAGTAGATGTTCGGATGTTGTGCAAAGAAATCGCTATGAAGAAGGGATAAGTATTAGAACAGGATGTGTATGGTACAGTAATGACAATGATTGCGTACACGTGTAAGAAAATTACAATGACCTCCGTGATTCTAGCTGGCATGAAAAAAGAAGGGAAGACCTAACCTGCTTCCAGGTTAGGTAGATGTGTGCTCTCAAAGAACGGACACGAATCGGTGATCTTAATTGCTTCCTGAGGCGTTATCCACGATGGGATCGAAATTAACGTTAAGCATTTGGGTGTTATGACTAATTAGCGTGAATGGGCGTCGTTAATTGTATGGAAATGAAAAAATGGAACAACGCTACGTGTTATCGATACAAGTATCCTCTCAAATAATTCTTATTGCCCATTCATTAACATTATTAAGAGGTATTTTTATCGCTTCGTTATTTATGTGAGAATATTAAGTTGAATTGTATTCTATTAAAGTACTAAATTATTTAATAAGTATCTGAATGAAATATTTATAATAGAGTACATTAAATTTCCTTGTAATAGACTGTGGTAAGTTCATCAGTTATGATGTAGCGAAGACAATATTTTATGTATAATCTTAGAGAGAGAAAGTAAGTATAGGAAAAGTAATACTAAATCATTCTTTTGTTATTTCACTATTTATCTAAGAATGTCATAATGAATGGAATTTTGTTAAATGTCTGTGTCATACATTTATGACTGTTTACATTAAATTTCTTTATAATTTAGTAAAGTAGCAAGTTTATCAGTTAGAATAACCAACAAGAATGAGAAGAGTTGATTTTATATACTATATAAGTACTTAGTATAATTTACTATTTCTATATTATAATTTATTAATTACAACTTGTATCAGTATAATTTTTAAGGTATAAGTAGTAAAGTTGTAAATTTGAAATTAAATTTAATCTTTAATCCCCAATCTACAATTTAATTTCTTTCATGTGTAACTAACAATAGAAATGTAAGATACAAAAAAATTAGTAATAGATTATTTTTTTATCACTTCATTATTTATGCATGCATGTTACTTATACTAAATGTCTTTATAATATGTACCAATAAATTTATTAAAAAATTTATTAATTAGAATGCAACAAAAAGAAAAACAATCCAATTTTTATATAAAATATAAAAAAAGTAGTAATAAATAATTTCTTCATTATAAAAATATTTTAATTTTTACAATAAATGTAAGTTCTATTTAGAAAAAAAAGTGTGAAAAATATATGTGTAAATATGGAAGATACAAATTTGACGTTAAATTTAGTCTTTCGTTTTAGGTTAAATTCAATCTTTAAAGTAAAATTTACTTATTATTTAATATCTTGTTTAATGCATTATTGCTGTTGGGGGGCAACAATGGACGACAAATACCAAATGAACGACTTGGCAAAGGTTTCTGATGTTAAATCCTTCGCGAGTGACACAAGGCAAAAGATTGCAACGTAACGTTGCAGAACATAATATATAAGGATCCTTTTTCTTCACTTTACAGCTCTATTCAAATAGTAAAACAACAAGCACGTGTTCACTCCAAGACCTTTCTGCTTAGTAACTTTGTATTATTACCTTACTACATACGCGAATATCCACTATACTAGTATTACTATTAATAAATATACTTTTATTATAAAGAAATCTCAATAATTACTAACCTCTTGTTTAATGAGATAACCTATCAAATTTCTATTTAAGATAACCTATAAAATAAACTAAGCAATCAAAACGACAATTGAAATCCTTATTGCCACGAGTACTTTTAAGGAGAAATGTACACATGCGTTGTCTGATTTTTAGAATGACACGTCTAAAGAAAATTTGATAAGGAAAGGCTGCGTAAAGTCGTGCTTAGTAAATGGGACCCTCACGGTCGAGCTAAAAAGACGCTCAGCATGCATGAATGACATTGTGTTGCTCTTTCGATGTGAAGAATAAAGAATGACTACTCTGAAATGCACCCTGTCGGAATACGATCGCAGTCAGTACACAAGGATTGAAGCAATTTCAAATTCCCTCGTTTACATCTAACGTTTGGTTAAGCCTCTGTGCAAACGAGGGGTCGCTGGGGCTCATTGAAATTCATTAAAATCCTCATTCCGTCTACCTACTCTTACGGGTTTCTTAATCATTCTGTTAGCTTAATCCGTATTTAATAACAACGCATATTATATGATAATATTTAAAATCACACTTAATCTTGTACATTCTTCATTGTATTATAGAGGTTATGTAAAGAAAAAGGATATGATAAAAGTCATATTTTTCATTTTTTATGAGAAAATATAATATAACCGCTTATTACGATATCATATGACTTAAACGTTGTACATAATACCTGCATTTTTAGGTTATAAAATATATGTGCCATATTATACGTAATATATGTCTTCTATATAATATATTTTATTATAAGATGCGTATTATATAGAGTATGGTACATTATAATACGTATATTGTATATATTATATCACATTGTAATTGTATACTATATAACATATGTATATATTACATATTATATGATAAATAGTTATTATTATTTGTGAAACTTTGTGAAGATTGGATTATTAGTATCATTAAATAATAATTTTTATTTACTCAAATATTATTTAATAATATAATATTTATATTCATAAAATAATGCGATACTACAGCTGTATACAAAATATTACTGACAAATATCAATGAATTTATAGGGAATTAAATAAATTCATCACAAACATAATGCAAACAAACGTATATTATTGTTAGAATATGTTGAATGAGTCAATAAATTAATATTTTGATATAACAATATTACTGTTAAATAAAATACATATGTATTTTTATTTAAACATTATTTCCTATTACGTAAAATATATATATATAATAATTCACTCAGGTTGAAACAGTTCTATTTAAATAATACCCATATTCGGTTTGCTTCAGGCAATTAAGCACTATCTAACCATTGCTTATACTGCTTTTCGCGCTTTTGTGTACGCGCAGCATCCGGTTTCCCAAGAAATCCCAGCATGCCTCGCATCCAGACGCATTTACGGCTGATGGAGCGTAGAAAACGGAGTGGCTAATGTACCATATCTAATCGGACTCGCGTTATTGGGAAATTATGAAGCATACTGTGCACACCGTTCGATCATAATATAAATAAGCAAAAAATTTATCTCTCCGTGCCTCGTGTATTCACACACATAAATATCTTGTAATAAATTATCATTTGTGATCAGTTTGTTATTAAGACAACTTAACCTCACACTACTGTGATAAGGTAAAACATTGAATATAGTCAAAGTTCAAGTTAATAATAAGAATATATTATCAACTTTAAACTGTGTAAGCATATGTTATTAATTTTAAACGTATAAAAATATATTATTAATTTAAATTGGAAAGCTAAAGAAACAATGTTAACTTAGGGTTATTTAAGTGTAAATCTATTGTAAAGTCAAATATGTACATTATTGTACTTATTATTTATTAATACTTTTATTTCATAATAATTACCACTTTAAAGTAAATATATTTTGTAGATAGAATTATTTTTAAATAATTTTTATGCAATATATTTGTTACATATAAATTAAGCAATGCATAAAGCAATAAAAAACTTTTTTTTTATATATAATATATATCATAAAATCAATTAGCAAATAGTAAAATTAAATTGCTTGATAATAGAAGGTAAGGGGAAGTACTAACAAAAATATTTTGATGTTTATAATTTATTAAAATTAAATGTCAATTTGAAAGTACAGTTCAGCAAGAGTAGCATCTCAAAAAATCGTGCAACAATAAATTTCTTATATTTTCTATTTCGGATACCTACCTACTCATTCACGCGTTACATTAAAAATGACAAGTCCATTCGTCGTTAATTATAGTATTCTAATTAAAGTTACACGTTTGAAATAATTTGACTCCTCTGATTGTACAAAAGATTTGCAAGGCAGAGTAGGGAAAAAGGAAAAAGAAGATGAAGAAAGAGCATATAAATTAGAGATTCTCTCGAATGTCGTTCTTTATCATGGAAGATGTATCCGATTACACGCGAAACAGAGACAGCGAGAGACACCAGAAAATTAGACACGAAGTCATCTGTCATTTTAAACAAGACGTCACGGTAGGCAGGCACCATTAATTTTGTCACCCGACGTTCCAGGCGCAGGGAACGTCGCGTAGGGTACACGAATTACAGGAGTCGTTTAACGAGACGATATCTCACGATTTGATGAACGATTTCCGAGAAAACAAAAACTCTTTCGGCGTCGCGTTCTCCCCTAGCACTGTTGCTTCAGCCTCGATGAAGAAACGCCAAAAATAACTGGTCGAAGGAATCGGGCGAGTTTCATCGGCAAAGGGAAAAGAACTCTACCGTGTTATCGGTTCTCGACGAGAAGCAACGAACAACGTTATCGTATATTAATCGCGTTATTATTACGTCTGCGATTTTGTACAATACGTCACCACTCGCACTGTCACTTCACCGTTTACTATGTACACAGCTTTCATCGAGATAGGCGTGTTGCGGTCCTCTATTTATAGCTAAAACACTTACGCATATACATATACATGTGTGTAAATATATACAAAAATACAAAAAGGGATATTGGCACACTCGAAACAATCATCATGTGGCAAGCGAAGCGTATCACATCGTTTAAAATTGTCCGACACGTTTTTCCTCAATTACACGGCTTCCTGAGTATGGGATTGGCAGTTTACGTTGATGCAGGATTTGGCAGTTCTTTCCAACATTGGACCTCCATAGCGGTGCGCCATTTATATAAACAATGCACCGCCATGTAAATATTCGATTCAGTCTTAATATAGAGATAAATTATGCATTGTATACACCGATTTCTATTATGAACCGTTACAGAACGCTCTTACAAAAAAATACAGGACTGCATCTACTTGATACTTTTAAAAACAATTTACACAACATACTCTGTAAAGTTTCTCGTCTTTTGAAAAAATCGATTCGGCTTGTTTTTTTTTACAAAATATATATGAAACTACATTTCTATCATCGCGAATATTTACTTGACTTTCTTGAAAATCTTAAAATTAACGTTTAAGTACTAATACATTATATACATGTTTTTATCAACGATTTCGTTTCTCCTGGTGTTTACAAGTTCTATAGATTTTAGAGATGTCTCGGATACAAAATATGTTTTATACGAGCTGCAATCGATTTCAGCTGTATAGTGATTAAACGTATCTCGTCAATTGAGTGTGGAAATCTTGAAGGCAGACGATCAACTGGCTGAACGTTGGTCTCTCGTCCGCGGACATTGCCCAACAATAAGCCATCACAGCGAACAGCTCGTCGGGACAATTTATCGGTTGTGCCAATCTATATCCATCTCTGAGGTAGGAAGCCATTTCAAATGCATCGACTTCCACATACGGTTGCTGCGCCAATGTCGTGAGTTCCCATAATAAGACTCCAAATGCCCACTATAATATCAATAAAAATATATAATATTTTTCTTTCACGCTAGTGAATTTATACCAAATTTGTAATAAAATTTAAGTAATTTAAAACGACTATGACATCAAAGCCACAAGAAATTTGATACAAGATATTTTTAATTATAAATATTATACATTATAATAGTTAATATCTAATCAGTGTTTACATTTATTTTTCCATTTGACTGTAACAGGACTATTTACTTTAAAACTATGTACATTCGTGATAAACAGGTGTACTCTTTTTTATTTTTATTTATCTTAGTTAAAGATAATAATACAAATGAATTTACACAGTTTAACAAAACTTCCAGTTTCCACCGAAAGCAAATTTACTTACCACATCAGATGCAGTACTGAACGTTTTATTAAGCAAACTTTCAATAGCAAGCCACTTGATTGGACGATTCTCGTTGTCGCCGAGGCAATGATAATCTTGCGGAAACAGGTCCCTGGCTAGAGCGTTGTCCGTGATTTGAACCCTCAGATCATCGTCAACGCTAAAAAATATAACGTCAATCGTTAAATGCCTTCGAAACGCACGAAACGCTCATATAAATCTCGAAGGTGTGAGGCACGAGGAGCACGTAAAATACGCGTGGCTCGGTTTAAATTTGTCGACCGGTACGCGTGGCAATGCAAAAAGTCGCTTGGAATGGAGGCACCAGAAAGAGTATTAAAGTCATCTGCACAATACGAACAGTAGCACCGAGTAATTAAACAGTCTCGAGCCAACGTATTTATTCCTAATTAATGCCGCACGGCCAATTAATTTCGTAACGAAACGTAACGACCTTAGCTTTACGACTCTTCGACTGATGCTTCGATAAAATATGCAACGCATAACCTATAAAGCGTTCGGTGTGATGCTCGCGCATACGATCGAAAAGGTGGGAATTCGAATTTCCATCTTAATTAGATACACGTGAAAAATTGTTGACGCGTGAAATCTGGTTTATACATAAATAAAAAGTGAAACGTTTACGTTAGGAGTAAAGCGTTAAATAATTCTTCTCTTTACTTACACGCAATTCCTGGCGGCCAAGTCTCTGTGCACTAGTCTCTTTCTGTGAAGATACTGAACCCCTTTGGCAGCTTGAAGGGCCATTTCCACGACTTCTTGCGTGGTGAGTGCTCTCGGTGGCCCTTCGCTGCTCAACTTGCACCTCAGTAAGAACCTCTTCATATTCTTGTAACCAGTGTGCGGGTACAGGAGAAAAGGCGCGCTTCTATCTTCGATAGAGACACCCAAAACGGGAAGCAGAGCTGGGTGACTCAAACCGTACAATGCTAAACCTTCCCGTAACAGGAGGGCAACCTTCGAAATGAAAATTAAGGGGCACGGTTAAATAGGGAGCGTTATGAAAAAATTTTTCTTAATTAAATTTTCGATTATAATACATTTTTAAATAATTTTAATTTACAATACCTCATGTATGAAAATGTTTTATTAATACTTTGTTAATTTATTAATACACGTGATACCAAAGTTCGTTTGAAAAAATCACTTTCCAAAAAGTGATTTTTTTTTTAATTAAGGTACTGAAACGGAGCAATTAAACGAAGAGAAAGATTTATGTATCTAGTGACCTATGCAACTTGTAGACCTATATACAAGATATAGTTCGCGTGGTTCACCATATATGTATATTTATCAAGATAAGAATATTAATTTATTCGTTATTAATTTTTTGAAAAATGTGAAAAGTAGAACTTTCAACAAAGACAATATCACAAAAATTTATCTCGTGTAAGTAAATGAATCTCGTGTAAAGTGTAATAAAAATTTAGTTAACAGGAGCCAACCATGTAAAAATTACTACGCGTAGAAATAACATACGTTTCATGAAAATGTATTCTTAAGGCTACATGGAAACGTGTTCATTAATAGTCGTTGTCAGAGAGAACAGAGAACATAATTTTTGATTAAACATACCGTCTTTAGCCTACAATTTATACACTGTTTCCCCGTACAATTTAAATAACATCTCCTACAATACGTGCTACTACGTTCGCGCTATTTACACGAAATGGACAGGAAGCAAGTGGATAATTATACGATGATACTGCACGAAACTAATTGCAAGCAAGTTGAGAGGAAACTTGGTATAATTTCATTAATAATGTTGAAAGAACAGCAGTTAATTGGCAGGCGAAGGAAAAAATACTTACTTGTGACTGTGATGCATGTTCAGCAGCAGTTTTCACTAGGACATCCCTCGGGGAGGACGCACCCTCCTCGTGATAACTGCCTCTATACACGCGACCAAAGGTGCCTTCCATTTCGATGCTGAGAAGGCGTACCCTGCATCTGTAACAAGTGCGAAACATGATTACTCCAGGATTCGTGACTGCAGTATCGACGGAACCAATAATTATTTCGTACAGACTCTCGAGTCCTCCTTTACGAAATTATTGGGAAGCTTGGTCGAGTATCGAAACGGAAGCAGACCGAATAATCGAAGCAGGTTAGGGCACTTGAAACTTTTTTACACATTCGTGAATGTGTCTCTTTTCGTTCCTTTTTCTTTCCCTCACTTTTTAATCTGCATGGAATGTGGAGAGGAGAACGAATAAAAGGTGCTCGAGTATTCTCTTCTTTTTGGTCACTTTTTAGGTTATAATTGCAGCATCACACGTATCGAAGATTATTAGTTAAATAAATTTCTGCATTTCTGCTTTCAGATTTCTAGAGAAAGATGGACACGTAAAAGACTTATGAAATTAAAGAGATCTATAACAAATTTTCAAAATGGTGAATTGATATAAATGATAAAAATACAATAAGCTAGCAATGCTTTAATAATTTTTATTTTAAAACTCTTAAGGTAAATGATTAATAAAAAGAAAAAGAATAAATCTGAATAATTTTCATTTTAATTCAATCTCTTAATAATTTGAATACCTTTTATGGTACATCAAATGCATACCTTTAACTTGCACAAAAGCAGACATTTTTATTTCATTTGTAAAGCGATCTACTTTATCAGAAAACAGGAGTCAGATTTCCTTTGAATCTCCCCTTTAAGTTATCAAGAGGATGGAATTCCTTTCTATTGTTGCATTTAATTTCCCGACCGATTCAGAATATATGCAACCACTTAACCTCAAAAAAGAACATTTTTTAAATATTTTATATCGACGCTTTAAATATTTTACCATACAAATTAACACAATTTACATTTCTTTCGTTATCTTTCCAATTGATTCCATTCCCCAACAATCTCTTTAAACGAAAACAAAGGTTAATTGTCGAATCTATTAAAAGCCCAATATGAAAGTCTTTAAACAATTTTTTCCTTTTAACACTGGAACTGCTGACTCGTGTTGGATATCTGAACGCTCTATATATAGATTCCAATAAGTAATATGATAAAAATAAACTGTTTCTATCTGAGTAAAAGTCGAAGTTACTTTTTTCAAAAGCGGTAGCATATTTTCATTAACTGGAGGAATAAAATACTCCAGAACAGCCATTTTAACTAGCTAGGTAGTTTCAGTGTTAGGATAGGCTGGATCAACAATTATTCGGTGTAAGACTGCAATTTTTAGCTGACATCGCGTTTGCATGTAATTATTAAGTTTGCATTATCAGAGATCTCTCGCTTTCTTCATTCTCCACGCCAAGTTTCAGCTCAATATCTCACTTGTATCATTAGTTTCAGAAACTATGGAACGGTCCTCCATTGTCAGAGTACATCACAGAAGAGCTTCTATCCGATTTTTATGGTCCCAAGGCACAACAGGGACCGCAGTCTATGGAAAACTTGCAGCATTGTGTGAGAGTATACTACCACAGAACTGTGTCTATGAATGGATGGACAAGTTCAGAAATAGACGTACAACGAAGACCTTCCGTCGATGAGCAACTTATGGTTCCATGCATACTTGGCTTATCTCTCAAGCCATAGCAGAAGTCACAAGACAACAAGACTCGTGCAACCATGAGTTAAGCGCGTTGAAAGTCGAGTGGACTATATTGAAAGATAGGGTAGAGATATATAGCTATTAATACGGTACATTAGTATAGTTTAGTATAGCTTAATAATTTTCAAAAATGCATTAGGAATTATTGCCTGACTTTAGTAATTAAAAATATATTTACTGAAATTGAGGAAATTTTATGTACCTTTGAATCGTGATTTCTTGAATCCTTTCGTGCAATTCTCGACTAGGTCGATCATCTAATCTTCTGTAAGTAGAAGTCGATGTTGCAGAGGCAGGTGGAGGGGTCTCTGGTGACAAGAAGGTTTGGGCAGGCCCAACCCCGGTCCCCCTCTCCACACTACACGCTGAACTGAGACCCCTCGACTCTCTTAAAAAAGGAAAAATAACAAAATTTTATATGAAACTAAATATTCTATTAACTTTCTTATTTATCGTTTTAAAAATATTCTTTACTTTATGCCAGAAAGTCTTCGAATTGCTATTTTTCTACAACAAAAAAGCTAATAGAAGTACAAAAGGCTAATAGAAAAATAATTTGTCGAATTTTACTAGTGAATTTTAATAATAATAAACTAACAATAAAATTAAAAACTAAATTTGTCAAACTAACAAAAATAGTAACAATAAATATTTAAGTTTTATTTATTTCTAAATTTATTAAATATTAATACTTAATTACTTATAAAAATTTAGCCTTGCAAGTGAATAATATAAATATTAAGGCATTATTTAACAATTCTCTTCATTATTTAATTTGGTTGTATTAAACAATTGTATTAAAGGCTGCAATGAATTAAATTTTTAATAATTAAAATGTTAAGAATGATAATATAATAGGATTAAGACATATATTTATATATCTATTGGCAACAACACTATTTCGATAAAATAGATAAATTTTCGAATAAATTCTGCCACAAACATATTAAAAAAGTTAAATTAAACAAATTTTTCAGTAATTTTGGTGTGATATTCATCATAGTCTTTAACCCTTTCACGAGTAAGCGTTCCGGCAGCTTCAAGACGATTTTCCATTTAACTCACTAGCGCCACCACGGCCTATATCTGCAATCACCATTTATCGTACATATCATATACACCGTTGAATTATTTTCTAATTTTAACGATATAATCGTGGAATTTTCTTCTCGCTATGTGTGTTATACTGTCTGTACGATATTGTTGTCACAATAATTTGTTGTCACAAATTATTACTCGTGAAAGCGTCGAGGACGAAAAATGATGACGAATATACACGGTCACTGAAAGTACATCGCTTACTGAAGGGGATCACGATGTCTCCTGGTCTTTTTGTCACGAACGTAGTAAGCAATAACGAGGACAAAAATGGCAGCGATGAAGGCACAGGCGCAGCCAATGGCAGCATAAAACACTTGTCCACCAGAAGAGGATCCGGAAGCAGCGACGAGAACCTCTTCCGCTCCTATGTTACTTTTATCCTTCAAGCAGATCTTTTTTCGTCTGAAGTCCAAACTGGTCGTATTTCGTCTCGACAACGAGACATTTATTCGAAGACTTAGGTCAACTTCCGCATCGTAAGGACCACAATGCAGTGCCAGGGCCCAAGTCTGCAGTCCACCAACTGGGATCTCACCGGCTTGAGATATGTTCAAGGAACTACTCAAGGCTGACGGATTGCTGATGTCCACTGACATTGTGTACGGCAACTGAAAATTTGGGGAAATTTGGGGAATTTTTATTACCGATTTAGATATATAACGAAGCTTAATTAATTTACCAATTAGCTTATTAAAATAGAATATTGTTAACAAAAAATAAAAAATATCAAAATAATTAGGGAAACAGAATATTAAATGAGTTTTTGAATTTTGAAATATTTTAAGAATTCTAACTCTGGGTCAATCATGATAGATATATGTTAAAGGAAATATGTCATTTATATTCAGCTTATATTAAGGGAGAATTCTTATAGTTCGACTTAAAAAAATCAATTTTTTTTTACATTTTCTTAAAGTATTTGCTGTAAAAAATGTCTGTGTAAAAGGATTTGTTTGAAGTTATAAAATTGGTGAAATCATAGATATTTGAAGTGCGCACAGGTATCGTACAATAAGTAACGAAAACTTCAAACGCGTTTTTTTCGAAATTATCTGATATCTTTTTCTATTTTTGTTTACCACCCAAAGGACGAAAAGCACAAGGAAAAGCGATATTTAAATTTCAAAATGCTGCAATTTTTTTAATTTTCGAAATTTCGATGTTTCGGTGGTGCTTTTTAGTTTTTTTGTTTCAGATAACCAGATACATCTTCATTATAAGAAATGAAATATTAAAAAATGTAAAAACATGTATAATGAAGGAGAAAAATCAAATAATAATATACATTCAGTACAAGCAAATGAAATCAGTAAAGCGTAAAAATCACAGAAGCGAAGTATTTAATGCTTTATACAATATTTTCATACATCTAAAATTAAATTTAATGAAAATAAAATTACAACTTCCACACGTTCGCTTAAATTGGGATAATTAATAAAATTCTGATCTAAATTCAAAGGTGTATGTATGTTTTCAAATAGCTCTTAAATATTTTATTATCATATTAATTTTATCCTGTTATTACGTTATATTACATTTTTATTATATATTGAGTCGATTGTGTCAAGTAACTGATAAAGTGATAATCTCAGAGCAATGCTATACATATACAATTAAAAATTTCAGCAATATCAAACTTCATTTAAATTCTAATAACGTTGTGTCCTGCGGATAAAAAAGATCCCTACCCTCGTGGCGAATCGGCAAAGTAAACAAAAAAGACTGTCCATCCACGCGACGAAATCGCAATTTCACGTACCCCAGCACAGTCGGCTAAATGAACACAAATGAACTCGCATTTCCGCACCGAGTCACGCGTTTACGCGCACCTGTTCCGAGCGAAATGTGCAATTTCCCGGCGGATCCATGAACCAGAGGAAAAAAGCCGGGGGAAAATGCAAATCACTGGAAACTCTTGATCTACATAGAAACGACCGTCCGCGCGAACTGGTGAGAGATAAAGAATATCTAGACGGAGCGAGATAGACAGAGACAGAAACAGAAGCACAGAAGGGAGACAAGGAGAAAAATATTCGTTCGAAGATTACCGAACCTATCCGACAGGAGACGGATAGGAGTATAAACAAATGGAAGAAAGTCGAAGGACGTAAGATACGATCTGCTACTACTTGCTCGTAATCACGCGAACATTGAACCTTCCTATAATCTGAAACGTAGCATTCTCAGAAGACAATTTGCGCCCAGTGGCGGGCAAAGTGAATCTAGAGGACCGCGGGCGAAAGACGGCTCGCAGGGTGGGGGGTATACGAAGGTAAGGTAGTGGGAGAAATAGGAGAAGGGCGAATGCTAGAGTGGGGGAAGCAGAGAGGCTAGACCAAAGAAAGAAGAGCTCGGTTATAGTCGAAGAGCTCGTGGCTGATTACCAGCCCGCAATGATGATCGGTTTCCAACTAGCCGCGGAGAAGGCACCTCGTCAACCTGCCCAGCTTGTCGCTACCATGCTACACTCTGAGCTACACGCTATAAGCTGTACCCTGTATATACGATATACGCTGCTTCAGCTTGCGGTCTTTTATGACCACGAGCGACCAACTACGTGCTGACAGTGAATGCCTCTGTAAACCGGCTAACCATTCGACTTAAACTGTCAGGAATTTTTTATCGTCTTCTTTTTTTTGTTCTCCATTTTCTGAACGCCTCAAAACAACCCGAGACTGCAAGAAACCCGCCAAACGACGCGGCAGCGTGAAATTTTACGGACGTGCGCTGGTTCAAGAAGATTCTTTTCCTAGAATCCTTCGTAAATATTTTACTTGAAATATGCCACTCGACCATCATTCACCGTGGAAACGGGAATATAGTATTCTCTGAATCGATAAACGGAATTTGCATTTCTGGATGGCCTTGTAAGCGTTGATATTTTGAACATGATTGAGTAATCATAAATTAGCAAGTTAAAGTAACGGGACCATAAGCGAGTCTTCGCAACTGCATTTTTATGACTCTGGGAAGAGATAATTTTGAAAATTTCTTAATTCGTTCGGTGAATTTATTAAGTATGTCTTTTCTTTCCCGAATACATATGGTACATATTTTGTATAATAAGATACTACCGGTATTTTTAGGTTAGAAAAATTGAAACAAGTTAAGAAGGGTCTAATTGGACATAGAAAACCATTTTCATTTTCTTCGAATCTTGTTAAAAAGAAATTATTTTTTTTCTTAAGGTTAGGTTGATTGACATAACAGGAAACCTACTCTTAGAGTTATTTCTTAAAATCAGAGGAAGTATTTTGAAAAATACTTGTAAAATACACATTCAGTGGACACATTATGGTTTAAGGAAATAATATTTTTCAGTTTCGATATAACGTTATCCGTGTCTTTGAATACCATCATTTCACGATTTAATATAGTGGTAAGGCAAACGCTACATTACAGTACTTTGAATACTGATGAGATGGCAATAAATTTTGAAAAGGTAAACGTCAGTTAGGAAGATGTTATTCTATAAAATTTGCAGCATCATGCAACCTGATTAACATTTTCAAACATTTAATTCAATTTCTATAGAACTAATGAATACTATATCTATTTTTATACATAACTCTAAAAATTTTGTGCACTTTTGACAATTATTTTTTGGAATAACTCATTTCAAAAGTACACTCTCATAGTTAAAATTGTGTAAAATTATATAATTAATATATAACTTTATAAAATTATTTAAAATTATATAAACAACTGATATTAATAGTAATTATTTAATTATTAATATTTTGTAAATTATAGACAGCCATTTTCATCTCCATATTTTATTGAAAGCAAATGCTTCTATGATAGGAAAATCAACATCTATGCAATTGTAGACTTTTAAGTAAATGTTTAATTATCTTGTTTAACAAGATATCACATATAATATTTATAAAAGAAAAGCTACTAAATCAGACTAAAGTTCTAAAAATACAAAAAATTATTGTAAATTATTTAATGGCCACGCAAACACATATACAGTCCTCATATATTAAATAAATTAAAAAAAGAAACAGATTTAATTTTGTTCTTAAAATAAGTATTATGTTTGGACTGTTGAATAATATTCTTGTTATTTTATATTTAAAATAACAAGGATTTAAAAAATGCAATTTTGTTAGTATATAGTTTTGCACAAGTTATCCCACATTTATCTTAGTCTAAAAATATATTCTTTGTATCCATAATCCATAAATTTTCGTTTAAATGGTATGGCATGAATTTGTCGAAGGGATGGTTCGATGGGGCTCAAAAGTGGTCAGTTTGATTGGCAGGTAGTCGGTGTGCCTAAGTAGCATTCGGGACACTCGGTTTTGTCGCGAAGGTGACGGATGTCTCGACGCTGGTCATCAGTCTCCGGCTTTCTTCCTCTCCTTCCTCTTCCTTCCATCGAGACAACTCGAAGAAGTGGCTGGACCACTTTGTCCTACTCTCGGATCCGTTCCTTTTTTTTCTGCACATCGTCGACGAGTCAATCCGACACCGTGCCGCATTCTGTCCACTTTTCGCCGCCACTTTGTCAAAGTACCATCGTCCTCAACGAGAGAGGATCGGCAAAAAGCATTTTCCCCGACGTACTAATAATTCATTCGTCACCGCACTTTCGATCGCTTTCTACGCTTACTCATTCACGAGTAATATTTTTCAATGTCATGTTAACCTAATCGGAAATGAGATAAACATTACACATAAATATAAAAATATAAATATAATAAAATTTTACAATGAACATTAAAGTCGTATAAATAATTTACAATAATTTTTGTATTCATATCGTATTAATTAGCTTTTAAACCTTTACCTTTTCCGTAATTATCCTAATAATTTTGTATTTGTCTTCTTATCTTATTTTTATCTTCCATGATTGACCAAAATCTTTAAACTTTTAAGTACATATATAAGAATTTAAACAATGTTACCATATTATGAAATATATTCACACATTCCTCAATAATAATGAGATTGGCAATAATTTAAGAAAAAACTTGTCGACTTAAAAATTTTTAATTGTCTCCCTGTGTCCTGATCAAAAGTTACAAAAATTCAATCACGTATTGTAACTATACAATAAGAGAAAAATAAGGGACATAACCTTAAAAAATTTTAAAGCATTACCTTCCTTAGAAATATATATATCAATAAATTCTATAATTGTCACAGTTTTAACCAATGAGTCATGTTTCTCAGCTCCATACTGATTTCACCAATGTATTATTAAAAATTCTTCCAAGAACGCAACGATTTCAACGAAATTTCATTGATTGAAAAGTTTCTGGATAAATTTATTTCCCGCGAGGAATACCTATAGAAGCGCGGCGCCACTGGTCGTTGGCACGAATCTGGGAAACGGGAAGGAGCGACATGCCTCGATAATCTGGATAAGTACGTCTCGTAAGCGCGCGAAAGAAACGGGGAACAAGGAAAGGGGAAGGGTTTCGAACAGTTGCCCGGTGACCGTTCAAGCTTGAAGCGTCTCTCATCAACGATTCAACCGACAGAGTGCTCTGGCTGTAAGATCTCGCGAAGACGTTGGATTCCTTCGTTAACGAGCGAATTCATCGTGCTCCGCTCTGGGTGACTTTGATCCACCGTGGCGACCAAGTCAAAGAAACGTAAACGGGAGGATAAAGCACGCGGAAGATACGAGGGCCAAGGATTTTAAGAGTCGGTAGCACCGCTTCTTTTCATTAACGGTTTGCGTTTTCTTACGCTTTAAAGTCCGCTAGCTTTTTAAGCGCCTTTCCTTTTTCAAGATTTACGTCGTTTAAGAAGAATCGTTCCGGTGAAATTACATCAAAGGCATAGGCGTCTTTGTAAGACTTACCGGCCTGCCGGCGAGATTTTCCCAAGTGAAATGCAGCTTGTGAACTTGTGCTGGCACAGGGACGACGAATTTAATGGCATACTCGTTTATAACGCCTTCTCTAACGTAAAACAATTCCGCCTGGAGACCTGCAACAAAACAATGAATACTTTATAGATCACAACTTTCGAACTGTTATTAATAGACAGTAACGTGGGAGTGTAAAGGAAGTACCAAAATTTTTATTTCTCTCTTCCAGGTTATTATTACATTTATACACAAATATTTTAAATAAATTTCTAGATATCAAGACTTTTGGTATTATGCAGTGTACGTTATTTAATTTGAGAAACGTACCATCTCTTTTGAGGTTATTACAGGATATTGAGGTTAGTACTGTTGGACAGAATTTTTATAACATAAATAATTTATATAGGCAATTTTTAATGACATGTAGTAAAACTATTATGTTTACTACAGTATATACTAATTTTCTATATGGATATTAATTACTAATATTACAAAACTATTCATTTGAATTAATTTAATTAATATTAATATAAATTATATTACAGAACTATTTGCTGATTTATTTATTGATATTTTGTTTGATTTTAGGTTACTCAGGAGGTGGTATAGTTTTGAATTCCTGGCGTAAATTCCAGCGATTGCAATTAGAAACATGGTTTCATGTTCACGAAACATGAAAGGAATGACGTCATTACGAAAAGAGGGTGAGACTGTAGGTGGTCGATTTCATGAGACTATCAGGTATACGGCCACAAATGATTCACAGTGATACATTGGTTTTAATATGAACCTTTGCGTGTGTAGTTCCCACAAATTCATAAGGAGATATAGTGTCAGGGATAGTATAATAATTCTGTATAATAGTAAAAATAATTTAAGTACAAAAATGTAATTAACAATACTATAGAAAACTTCTAATTAGTTTTTTCATATATTGTTATATCGAGATGAAACAAATGTCATTGGAGAAAACGCTAAATTTCCCACCAGTTATTATATTATCAAAAATAAATAATAAAATTTACCTGGCAAAAAGAAAACATTTTTAAATAAATATCGTGTCTCCGTTATCAATATTGAAACATTAATGAATATATTGAAAAGTACAATTAAAATTGAAATTAAATTATAAAATTGTACTTAAATTTAGCAAAAAATTTACGCTGCTTAAAATTTACAGTGTTTTTCACAGAAAAATTAAAATAGCCACAGAAGAGGGGAGAAATTTTAATAAATCCATGAGGGATATTTTTAAACTAAAAATCCATTTGTCGGTTGAACAAAATTAATTTTAAAATCCGCTGCGATGCACAAAGGCTGTATTTATTAATTTACGAATGAAATGGCAAACACGCAGAATGTAAAATTTTTCCAATTAGACATGAAATAGGTGTCATAAAATAAAACGGTGAAAAAGAAATTAACGAACAGTTAGATAACGATAAAGAAATGCATTACCGTCAGTGCAAAGTGGGACAGTTGATTGCAGCTGGACGACCGGTATAGAAAATAGACGAGAGAGATTACCTTTAATCGTTAACGAATAAAACACGAAGAAAGTGCATCTTTCTGTGAGTAGCCAGTTATCTACCGAGGGACAGCTAACACAGCGTCCACGGACCACGGTGGGAGTAATCGACTGCTCAAACGCGAATACAAATCGTGTGAACCGAAGCGGAACAGAGGAGGTCCTACTTCGCCTTGCGATTTACCGAGTGAGAAGAAATAAGTAATGGTGGTACGAACACATTGTCTCGAAAAGAAGGTAGTCTCGCTCTGCCGATTTAGTGGGCTTGTTATTTTCTTACACATATTTTTACAATGCTTCTATGAAGTTTAAAGGCACATTGAAATGCTAGCCTCAGTGCCCCCGTGCCACTTAAAAGTGAATTACGATTACGAGGATTTACACGCGCGACTATAGATGGCAGCACTTGAGTTTCTCCTAATTTGTTTCCATCTCTTTTTACCTTTTATTGCTCGAGAATTCGTAAAAACGGTGAACTCGGTGTAAAATATAACGATGCAGAGTTTGTATCGTGACTGAAACGTAATTAGTTTTATTCATTCATTGAGAAATGAAATGAAAGCATTTAAATGCATTCAAATTTATTGCTTTTATCTAAATAATAACAACAATAATAATATAATTATTGTTATTAATTTTAGTGATGTAATATTATTGTTACTCGTGAACCTAACCTATTAATTATACACTTAAGAGTATACGCCTATTAGACATCATAATAAATAATCTTCGCAAAACTCACAACGAATTATTTTATAATAATCGTAATAAATCACGTATTTATTAAGTTCGTTCAAAGAAAAATTTAAATATCTTTATTTTTGACAACACCTAACCAACAAGTAACGACGCACTAGATACCCAGTCCTAAAATTCTACAATGCTATTTTAAATACCATTGGTACCGTGAAGTAAGAAAATATTCTCCGAACGGTTCGATGTCCACAAACACTGCGGCACCTGGATGTTACGCTACCGAGTAATCCGCATTCAGAAGCCACAAGGTTACGTGGGCGAGTCAGCAAAGGTGGAAGATCGGATAAAAGAAAAAGATAAAAAACGAAGCAGTGGTGGGGAAGACGGCGTAGGAGGGAGAGAGACGCAGGCATACGTCGTGTACTCCCTTCGAGGGTCTATGCTTGTTGTATCAGATACGACGGTTAACGAGGCACGAGTTGGATTTTTAAGTCACCCGAAGACAATGTGCCGTAGCCCCCACAATCGTGTCTTTGCTTTTGGTCCTTCTTCTTCGTTTACCGTCCCTTGCCCCGCGGCACCATCGGCCTTCGGCCTTTACCGGTTTTCTGCATCAGATATCGTATGCCCACGACCTCAGCACTGGCTATTCCTTCGAGCCAAAGCTCGCCCGCCTTTCCCTCCTGGGGACCCGAGCACAGTGTCCGTCGTAAAAAAGACGCGGGATACCCTGCAGGATCCTCTCAGAAAATAATTACCTTCGGATCCTCGAAACCACGCTGAGTTATCGCCGCTAAAAATCGAATCTCCGTCCCCTACGAGTAGGACACTTTTATAGATGTTCCGAGTATTGATGATCTTGACTACGCCAGGAATTACCTGAGTCATCGGTGAGAGACTCTTTGTTCGTTCGTTCGGAGAATAAAAACATTTTTCCGTCGGCGAGCCCCGCTTCCTAGAGAAGTCAACCGCAACGGCAGAAGACTCCGATACAGTTTTTCCCGTCACAGCTGCAGTTCCACCATTGTTGTGCTTCTATCGAATACATTGAATATCTAACCGAGAGATGGCAGGACGTGCTCCCCTGTTTAACCTGCGGTGCTAGTCACTGTTTGTCTAACCACTCTTTCGTTCATCAGGGGGCAGTTTCGACGCTTGAGCACGTCAGATGATCATCGGAGTGAATCAACTATTTTCTTGTTTTACAGATTAACGTAAATTGAATCTCGTTACCGCCTTTGATATTTTTGAAGCATTATGTGGGGGATGTTATCTGGTTTTCGTTACTTAATTTTGAAATTGTAAGTTAATTGTAATAGCATGTTTTAGAATCTTTTCTTTGAGGTTATGGAAGCATATAGTTGCTTTGGGATCAAATTAAAGTGGTTGTATTTCTGGCATATCAATGCAATTAATGTTATTAGATTAGTAGGTGTAATATTAATTTTAAATGTGTAATATCACAGAAAAATTGTGTAATTGGCATTTATATAGGAATTTTTCTCCAAACTTGATTAAGATTAAAATAAAAATTTATAATAAAGGAATATGACCAATGTTTAACTCCTCCTGTTATAATTTGTTTTGATAACTGGATATTTTTTGTTTTTACAACTACAATTATTAATAATTTACATATCCTTCTTACTTAACTTTTATTGTTATATTATATTACTGTTATAATTGCACATTTATGTTTAGAATATAGAACACTAATGTGTAACGAACAACCAGAAACTAATACAACTGGAAACAATGCATAATATAAAAATTATTAGTATATAAACATTCATTTTTATTTACTTTATATGTTTTGCTATACTAACACTATTTTAACACTATGTTTTCAATTTTTCAATATAGGTAATTTCAAACCAAAATAATTAACCTTTACAAATTTATCTAAATTTCATTGCCAAAATAACTCTCTATATTCACAATAAATTCTAGGGCCAGAAACACGATATTCTAAATTTCTCAAAATTCTGATTCCAAAGCGTTTGATCTGTTTTCAACTCTTCATGTTTTAAATAAATTTCTATTTCTTTTCAGGTGTTAAGATTCACATCTAGTCTTCTCTATAAACCATGACTAATCATCTGACCAGTCATTTCAACAGCCATGACAAGTTCAATGCTAAATTCCTTCACCTGGAAGGTAAAACATTTCAAAACAGAACCCACTGAACATCAAAACATCACAGGGACTCTTATGTCGAGTTACATTCAACGTTCTTCATTTATTGAAGAAGAAAACAGAAAATAAGTAACCACTTGAATTACTTAAATGCAAAATATAAATTACAAGAATGTTTGAGAGTTTTATTTAATATAATCAGTAAACAAAGTTCTTTAAAATGAGTAGCAGTCGAGGAACTGCCCTGTGAAGTAAATTTCAAACAAAATACTTAGGCTAGTAGGGAGTTGTTGGCAACAAAATTGAAAAATAATTCGGAGTGCAAAGGGTTAAGGTACGGGAACCACGTGTTCCACTCCGTCACTGATCATTTCTCATTAATACAGATAACCAGTAAAGCGAATCATCTATTTCTTCTGAGGACCTAGCCGTGACCTCGTTACCGGTACAGATATTCTTGAAGCCCTTATCTAGTCGGGGCTTCTTTCACGCATTTATGCGGGAACTTTGCACGCGGGTAACCAAGGGGTGCTGTGTACCAAAGATCCTTTGATGTCTGGTACGCCTGCAGCAGGCCAAAGTGCAAGCAAGAGCAGTAAAGGGAGAAGAAAAAGATGAAGGAGATGCGGTAAGGGAACGAAGGAGAGAGAGAGAGAAAGGGGGCCCTTTCAACGAAGGCGTCGACCCTCGACAACGAGTGCCAGACACAATTGTCACGAAGGGTTCCACGGCACTTCGAACCTTTCCTCTTGGTACATG